ATTTTTGTGAATGATATATTATTATGGCGATCAGAACTGGATTAAGCTGAATAATGAACTTGGGCACATTCATTTTTTCTTATTTCTTAAAAAAAACTGTATTGTTACAAAACTAAATATAATACTCATAAAATAAGCACCATGATGGGTTACTACTAACTACTGGTCAAAAAATGCGTGATAAAAAAAGGTCATACATTAGCTTTGATTAAATATTTTTTATATCGTTTTACTTTTTGAACAAAAATATATAACTATTGTAGAATCGTCACTTAACTAAAAGCAAATGTAAAATAATATAAACTATCTAATGCACATGACTTGTAGATGAGCAATAATATTATGACTCTAATTCTGAAGCGTTTTTTAAAAAACAGTTGTGTTTTATTTATCATCACATCGATGTTGACTTATATATAATACGAATAATTGTTTTGGAGTCATATAACTTTTCTCACTATGGAAGATCGAATTTCGCTAAATTTTATCATCACCTAGTCTTCATTTTTGACAAACTAAATATGTAGCCAATGGCACGAGTGCGTCCACAATAATCCGCCCCTCGACGATGCTAATGCCGACATTTTTTTTTTTCATATACCTGTTATCGTAACGATATATTCACAATTATTATCTCCGGACTACGGCAACAACAGCAACAACAATAATGACAATAATATCGTATAATGCGACGTCTTCGTCCAGCCGGGTCACGACCTCCACCGCCGCTGCCATGAATAACAAGTTCGTCGGTGGTGCGGCGGAGACGAGGGTAAACCGTATACCGTAGTATGATAATATACATATAATATATACCTATATATATTTATATATACGTAGGACGCACAGCCAGCCGTATACTTATGCGACTGGACAGTGATGATTAATCGCGGGATATTCGGAATTTATTGTAATATTCTCCGGTGCGCCGCCGAGCTCGAGCCCTGCGACCGATACGCGACGGACGGAATATCATATTACTATTATTATATCATACCATTTTTTTTTTTTTTTGTCGTTTGGTCTCGTAAAGAAATATTCTCGTTTTAATAGTCACGTGAGTACCTACCTACCTATACACACGAGAGCATTCGAAAGTCTGCTGCATCCGCGGGCGGGATGAGGAGGCCCGGACCACCGCCACTGGTCCGAAAACTAATGGTCTTACCCTGCCGCTTGTGTGCCACTGCTGCTGTTGCAAACGCAGGTTAAATGTGTTAGTGTGTGTGTGTGTGTGTGTGTGTGTGTGTGGGGTAATAGTGAAGGGGAGGAGGTTACTTTTCGTTGTGATTTATAACCGCCCGTCCGCCCCGACGTCCTCGGAGATCCTCGGAGGAGACGCAGCCGCGCCAGGTACCCGTCGCACACATAGGTACCGTTTGCTGGCCTCGAGTATATTACACACGCTGGAGATGGTCGAAATGTTGTTGGTCGGGTATAATAATGTTATACCTAGTTATTTCCATCCGAGCGACAGCTGATGCTTGGTATTGTTAAGATGGCGATATCGTTTTATTATTACCTAGGTACCTACGTAATATTGTTATCATGTCGTTATCCAACTCGACATAAACGTATTATACATGGCAAGCATGCTCAATCCGTTTTTCTCCATAAGTAAAGCTGCATTTATCCAAAATGTGATCATTGTTCATTTTAAATATACCTATAAAGACTATATTGGAGTTCTTGAATTCTTTAGCGGTACCTACTCAAAGAGTGTGGAGATACAAACTTCTGTTTTTCAAATGGTAAAAGCCCCCTATTCTACTTTCATCTATTTAGTGGATAAGTTGTATGAACATTTTGCCGTATTAGAAGATATATATAAGCAGGTTTTAAGTTATTTGTCTTTGTGCACGACAAAGGATAATATTATTATAGATCCATGATAATGCGTTTGTAAAATATGAGGGCTATAATATGGTGATTTTAAAATTTTAGTGATTAATATTAGTCTACCAGAATTAATAATTTGTGAAAATGGTCCAAGCACATAAATACTAGATCCAATATTGCATTAATTATTTTATGTTGACATATATATTTATTTATTTATTGGCAGTAAGCAGTAATGGACCTATATTACTTTGACAATGTTTATTTTTTTTTTCCCATAAGTGGAGTCGTAATACCTAGGTTTACGACCTGAAACAGTAAACTGAAATCATTAAATTTATAATTCATTACAATTTGTGATAGCTGTCGCCGATTGCACCGTCGCGCATCATACGATTTTATCGCCATCAAGTGGGACAGTTTATCAATTCAATTCATATATTTTCTTGTGCCATATTTCTTGTCGTCCAATAAACACGGTAATCGATATAATACAATTAATAATCAAGAATGATATTGTGTTCAAGAATTCATTGTATCTAATCTTTGTATCCTACATGATAATAACTGACTCAATAAAATAATGCAACTCATGAGTTTAACTCTGAAGACCCGTAATTATTATTATAATCTGAACCAATTAGAAATAAAATAAATTATATCTTAAAACATAACATCATATAATATAGGTAGGTACTTATACACTCAAAGATTTTTTTTTTAAGTAATAAATATTAGTCTCATTTGAAAATGTTTATTTGATGCAATATTTTTTTGTTAAATTTATATACTGTAATTGTTTTTTTTTGTTTTCGTTATAATTGCATTACTTATATATATTAATATTATTATCAAGAAGAGTGTATGTAATATTTTCTTTGGTACGTTTTTCAACACTCTCCGCGAGTGGCTGGAGTTAAGAACGGAATGTTTAGAAAATGTAATTGTCAAACGTCTAATTAAAAAATATTATTTTTCATTGTTTACGACCCCCCACGACCACCTCCGAAGAAGAGCATTTTGTTATGTTTATCACGAACATGATACAAATGAATCAAGTACAATCCTTACATTTATCATTTGAAGAGCACGTATCAGACCAAAAATCAAATTTGTAAAAAGAAGAAAAACAATTTATGTCCTCTTCCATTCACATATAATACTTTGTTTGGGCTACAATAAATCACCCGGCGTACAGTTTAATAAGCCCATCTGCAGACACGGCATAAATGACCGAGCGATATATTACCACGTTTATTAACTACACGACATTTTAGTTTTTGTGATTTTCTATTTATTTTTTATAATCACCATTGTCCTTGCAGTAGGGTTCGAGTTACGACTGCAATTTACTTTATCGATATTGTCTCCTTAAACTGCACGCTTTGATTAAGCACCCATTATATTTAGGTATAGTTATTAAACCGTATAGGTACATTAGGTACAATCATAACAATACAAATAATAAATCTAGTGTAGCTATTCATGGAACTATTGCTGCACCGGATGGTTATCTTATATATGACTATATTTGAGGTTCATCGGTAATGTGTAAAATATGCATGGAAACCAAAAACTTGAAACATCATAGTGTGCACTATACCTCACTTGTTTAAAAGCGTTACATTTTTTTAAAGTTCCCGCAGTTGTTCATACATGAGTGACTATGAAGATGATGGCTTTTGAAATTTTTACGTCCTCGAGAATAGAAAATATAAACCCAGAGAGAGAGAGAGAGAGAGATTTTCGGTGATGAAAAATATTTAATCCGGCAGTACTTATAGACTCAAACGTATTTAACTACCTAAAGTGATATTATATTCAGCATTTATAGCAAAAGGCGTGTAATTACTAGAACATCCGTATTTGGTTGAATTCATTTTGTAGATTATACCACTGCAACATAATAATTTTTTGATTGCAACACTCAATAATATAAGTACCTAGGCCTATTGGTTTCGAATTCAATACGAAAATACAAAGTCCCTCTAGAGTTGTCAGCCACTCTGTGCATAATCCACATTTTTTTTTTAAATACGTTTACACCATTATATACTTCAGTCTTATACTATTTTATACACTTATAAAAAGTTATGCATCTATAAGGTTTTTATTTTTTTAAATGTATAATGTGTTGATGTCGTCGCGTATGACGGCGAGTGGTTAACGCGTCATATCATCAGCTGTTATGACACTCATTTGCACGACAATATTATTAAACTACATTGGCATCGTTGATGTGAAGGAGAAAAAAAATGCCAGATCCCCCCCCCCCCAAAGCTCCTGACGGCCCGCCATATCCAGCCAGCTGACGGACGGGTTGAACACGACCCGGTCCGGGCGAGAGGAATATAATAATATTATATTATAAAATGATATCATAACGACGACGCATATAATATAATATATTATGTGCACGCTTATTTTCTTTATATCCCAGTTTTCCCTTTTAGCCCGCGACGCCTAAAACCTTGTCCCTTTTACGGTGAATTTGCATATACTATATTAACGCGCCGAGCGACGATGATTCGCTCTAATTTTCGCACGCGAAAAAAAAACGCTCGCATGCGTATCGTGTAATGAAATAAAAAACGGAAAACCCCCGGGTTCGGGGTTCGGTTTTTTTTTTTTTTTTTTTGTATTTATCCGGGAGAGCGCGTGCCCGTCATCCTATCCGAATTACCCTTTATACGTAATGACACTTTAAATCATCCGGAAAAAATAAGGGGCCCCTATAATACTAATCGCGCGTATATAAAACACACACGCACACTCACCCAACCACCACCCACTTACACACGCACTCACACACCCACTCGCATCATATATAACTGCGTGAGCTAAGGGAAACCTTTGACGGGTGGGGAAATTCTGCAGGGATAATGGATATGCGATATACGGTGGGCGGGAGTGGCGGTGGATCCATAGGCGCAATTTGGGTTAAATTTATGGGGGTGCTAGATTTAAGTTGACCAAAGTGACTCGTGGGGGGCTTTGCCCCCCACACCCCCCTACGGCCTTACCACAACACCACTTATACATTCATCGCATTAACTTATTAATCTATAATTTATAAGAAAATAATATTAAAGAAAATAAAACACAGATTCAAGGTACCTATATAAATACAGGTAAATACATTTTTTATTTTTATTTAATTATTATATTAAAGATATACGTCTTTGAGTCAAACCAAAGTTATTTATAATTTTATCTTTATCAATTTTAGTGCTAAGATCTCTCTCAATACTGATAACTGACAAATCGGTAAATTTCGATTGTCCCATACTTGTCCTAAGCCAATTCTTTATACGACGCATCGACGAAAAAGACCTTTCACAAGTAGCCGAGCTTATAGGAATTGTCAATCCTACTTGAATAAGTTTAAATAAATTTGGAAAAACATCTTTAGTCACCACTTTCTTTATTCCTTGTATATCAAAATCCAAATTTCTATTTTGTATACAATTTCTTGTCAGCAACATTTCAGCTTTTAATGACATTAAATCAATATTTACAACATCCTGAAATTATATCACCCTCACGGCCTCACGTGATTATTTTATTTACAGAATTAATCTATATTACATTAACTAACCTTGTAATGATTAATGAAATATGAACCTTTTTCAAAATCCATTTTCATAAATTTGTCTAATGAGTTAGCTAAAACTAAACTTTCATCCGAAAAACGGTACTTTAAATTGACAATAACAGAATCAATTATTTGAAAATAAATGATTTTCCAATGCTCATTGCCAATTGTTCTACATTCCGACTCACTTTGTTGTCCAGTTAAGGTCTCAAGATTATAGCTCTGTAAGTGATGTGGCTCTTGGCGTTTACGTTTAGATTTTGTTCCTAAGGATATAAAAGTAAAAACATTAATACTTAGGTATTAAAGTTAAAAATATCTTATTCTTGACACATTTTTAAATTATTATTTCTTACCAGAGTTTGATAATTCCAATGTTATTTGGTTTAACTGTGCAAATTCCTTAATTTGTTCCCAAAGCTTAAAAAAACTATCTTCATTCCTCTGATTTTCAAAAGTAGAAATTACACTTTGAATTATATTACTTGATGTTCCCAAGGTAGCAGATTTAGATTGAAGTTGATTGCTTAAAACATTTATAATGGATAACACTTCATTCAATATATGAAGAACTATTATAAATTCTAATTTATTAATAGAACTTAAAATACCTACAAATCAGAAAAGTGAACATTATTATTATTTTATTTACTATATATAATTTAAAAAAAACATTTAAATTAAAGTTTTATAATAATACCTAATGCACGTGCTACATCTTTATCTATTTGTTCTTCGATTTCATCATTGAGAATATTAAGAATGCTAGAATAATTTTTCAACATTGCAACACAATTTTTATATCTGCACACCCATCTTGTATCACATATTCTTAATACATTTCCTTTATTTAATCCTAAATTTCTTTGCATTTCACATAATTTTTTATTTTTTGATGGTTGCGAAAAGTGTACATATATTGCTTCAAGCATATTAAAAACATTTTTTGCATTCTGAAAAATATAATAAGACATTTTTTATTAATATCTACAAATATATAGATTTTATGATTTTGATTTGTTTTAATATTACCTTTATTGTCTTACATGTATCTACAACTACTAAATTAAGGCGGTGTGCCATACAGTGAGTGTATATAGCGTATGGATAGTGTTCTTTAATTCTTGATTGAACACCGCGTAAGTGTCCAGACATAACACTGGCGCCATCATATGATTGTGCAATTATTTTGATTTTAGACATAGTCAGTTTTTGTTTTTCAAAACATTCAAACAGTGCAGTGACAATATGGTTGGAAGTTTGTCCTTTTGAAACATCAACAAAACACAAAAATCTTTCATATACATCCAAGTCAATGGTGTATCTCACACAAATTGACAATTGTTCTTCTCTATAACATCTACAATTAAATGACAATTTAATTAGTTTTGACGCATTAAAAAATAAGAGTTTTATAAGAAAAATGCATAAAACAAACCTAGCTTCATCGCACATTAAAGCAAAAAAACCAATCTTTTCAATTTCTTTTACAATAGTTTCTCTGATATCCTCTGCACACAATTGAATTAATTGATCTTGAATAGACCAGCTAGTATAATTTGTTGTTTCATCAAATTTGATTTTGAAATCCGGCTGATAATTTGATAATAATTTACATAATTCCTTAAAATTACCTGAAAATGTTAATGTATATAGATATACTCTTGAAAAAATAAACTTATTATTTATAAAAATAATTAAAATATTACATAATGTTATTAAATATAAATGCAGTTTAAAATTAACTTAAGAGTACCTTGGTTTAGAGAATCTGCATCTTCTCTGTGGCCTCGATAGGCAATACCTTGTTTCCCCAAAAATAATATGATGTCAATAAGCGTACCAATATAGGTACGGTTTTTGGCCACTTGTTCCTTATAGCCACTACACTGCTTTACCATAACAGAACCAGATTTCTTACAAGCCAAGTACCCAGACATCTTAGATACACAAACTAAATGTCGCTTTGTTTTGTCATGTTTTTTCAGTTTTTCATTAAGCTAAATAGACAAAAAATTAAGTACATATTTTATGAAATATAAAGGTATAATATATACCTATACTCTAAAGTTTGATCTATTTTTATTTTTTTTAGTAATATTGTTCAGAAACCAAAATAGTCAAAATATAAACATACTTTTTGCCAGTTTGAAAATCCTTTTTTTGTCCAAACATCATCAATAAGTTCATCAGCAAACATTCTACATGCATAGCAAAATGCTGCGTTGCTTTTCATACTATACTCCAACCAAGTATATTGTTTATACCATTGGCTACTAAATGATCTGTTTTGCGAACCAAATCTAGTTTGTTTATAAATCTACATGATAGTGTAATTTATTATTATACTACAATATATACAAATAAAAGTATTTTAATTTTTAAATAGGTAGGTATTAAATTATTAAATTATTAAATGAATAATATTAATACCTACTAGCTACGATAAATAATAAATATAATATAAATTGCTGACAATTATCTAATAATGTCAATATTATTGTTATTAATTTTACCAATTATTAACTTACATTTAAAACAGGACGGCAAGGTCCAGTAGCGAGATTTCCCAAATCGGAATGTTGGAGATTATTTTCGTTGTGTTGAAAAGGTAATGTTTCAACAAAATCAGTATCAGTTTGATTAACTATAACGTCATCTTTTTCTACAATTTCAATGTCCGGGTCATCAACAACCTCAGAATTCATCTAAAAAAATTTAAAAATATAACAATAATTAAAATTATCATTAAAATGATTATAAAGAATGTTTTTTTCTGTATTTAATAAATATCAAAACTTACTTCTTGGTGTTTATCATTTTTTGACTTTTTTTCAAAATTGAAAATATTAAAAATCTTTTTAGTATTTTCCATTATAAACTTTAAAGCAATAACAACATTAACAACTTGAGTAATAATAATATTATTCAATTTTCTTAGCAAGGGTAAACAGTAAACGCCTAACTTACACCTTACACGTACCACGTACGACGCACAGGATTCACGATTCAGACACTTGAGTGTGGACTGATGGTGGAACGTGTGTGTTTTCACAGAAAAATGCAATCGAAATGGTCACCTCGGAGTTCGGATCGACAATAAATTGATTACGCGCGTTCTATTTTTAGACGATTTTTGTATTTACCAGATTCGTGAAAGAAATTGATAAGCTAACGGGATACTCGAATATTCGATATCGATAGACGTTTCGGCGTAATCGTTATCGACTATCGTTCTATGAAGTATAAAATCTTCTTATGTTATTAATACATAGTAATATGTTAATCAATATAAACAATAAATTACCCATAATATTATATAAGATAGGTATTATTATATAATATTTATATTATTATTATTATGAAAGTGAAAAGTCTTAGAAATAAATTTATTCTAATGCCTATGACATAATATGATAAGTAATAACAAATAAATTTTGGGGGTGCTAATATGAAATTTGGGGGTGCTAAGCACCCCCAAGCACCCCCCAAATTGCGCCAATGGGTGGATCTTAAGAAGAAAAGCTTTTGCCTCGGCGGAGTACGACGACGACGACGACGATATAATATCGAAAGGCAATTTGTCGTTTAGATTATAAATATATATATTATATATATAGATACGGTCTGTACGTTATAATAATATATCATAGTGTGTATATACATTTTTTTTTTTCAATATAATTCCACTAACAGCCTATAAAATAATATTTATCTCGGGATCATATTATTATTATTATTACATATTTTTACTATTAAATACAAGCGGGACGGTGACGGTTCGTGGCAGCAGTTTGCATTGGGGCGGCCGAACATTGTAATGCGTACCTATGTAATAATCGTTTATTTTCGACGGCGGTGGAGCACGGGTCTTTCGGTATAATAATATCATAATAATATATTAACCATCACTTACACAACATAATGGCTATAGTCCGAACCTGGCGTATACCTATGGCGGAACCGACTCGGAGGTGACCCACCATCGGAAAGCACAATATTATAATATTGTTATGCAGGTAAACAATATAAAATGCGATAAAAATACTGTTTTTTACGGGTGAGTGACAAAGACTATAGGAATTCCAAAAAAAAACTGTCCCACATTTTTACACTCTTGTGCTGCAGTGTGAGATACTATACACGTCCAACGACAAGGACGCTAACAAGGTTATAAGAGTGAATAGTTGCTACGAAATAACGCTTGTAAACTTGACGAGTTATACTGTTTTCCGCGAGACAAAGTTACACGGGCAACTTTGTTTTACTATAATATAATAATAGAAATCCTTTTTTTTTCTCCTATGACGATGACGTTTCAATCAAACAAACATAACATTGTTTTCGCTATTCCGTAAAAAATGTCTCTTGTCGTTTGACTGAGATAAAAAGGTACTCGTAATAATTTACCATCTAAAAAAATGCTTTATATTTTTTCGATTCAACCATAGGTATTGTTTTTCGTAAAAACGTTTTTTTATTATATTTAAACCACTCTTGAGTTACCTACTATTCAAAACAACAATGTTTATTTTGCGTATGTGTCTAAGTTTATTTCTCAACACCATATAACTTTTTACTTGAGCTATAAAATATAAAAATAGATTAACTCTGTCAAAGTGGAGCTGGGACTCAGTGGCAAACGGTAATATTGAAATTCTACTGAAAATTAATAAACATTTAACCGATTACTGTACTATTGTATGAGCTAACTATTTAAATAATAAAAATAATATACAGTATAATATAATATTAGTAATAATAAGCCAATGAAGCAAATGAGCCTAGGCAGGTAAAAGAATATTTAGGGACGTAACACAGTGGTAAAAGGGACAGTGAGGGTTTTCTAGTGAGACTTATGACTATGTCGATTCCTGGAGACCCTTATTCTTGTGTATTTTTTTATGTGTAATATAGTGATTCATAGTGTAGGTTGTCATATTATTTTGTGTACCATCGACAGACCATGCCTATAGTTGAAATAATCAGGTGGAAAGTGGTTCGAAAATATGTATCCGTAAGCCAGGGACTGGGAATGAACCTAAAAGAATCGGTTCTGGCTACCTTTAAAAAATTAAGAACCGGAACCAGAAAATTTATTTTAATAAATGAAGTACCGGAATTTTTAAATTACCTAGTTAGGTTTTTTTACGTTCGAATATAAAATAAGTTTAATTATCACAATTTAATGGCATTACTGTTTTGTGTATAAATTATGTATGATTAAATAAGTTTTCTAATATTTCTCATACTATTAATTAGACCTGCATTCCGGATAGGTATTTAAAATTGTTATACTTTTCGGTGGCTATATTATCTTGGCCGGTACCGAAATCATTTGGAACCGATACCTTTACTTTTTTATCAAGAAACCAGAACCAAACCGGAGCAGGTATTTTATTTTTGGAGAAACCGGAACCGATACCGATACATTCAAAAGGTTCCAGTCATTACCGTAAGCAACTATGTGCAAAACTTCGCAACTGACAGTGCATAAGCATGTCAACGATGCGTTTTACAATATACACAATGGTATATTTTGTACCCATAGCATCAATTAAAGTTAAGCCGACCAATGATTCTTATAACAATATAATATACGCCTCGGCGAAAACCAACTGGAACTGTCTATATGGAAATCGGACCTAACTGCAATGTCACATAATATACAGTTACAGCCGTTGAGAAAATTGGTGCATTGATATATTATTATATTTTATACTGTCTATATAATTATATCCGTCGCTTTGTTAAGTCGCATCGAGTCAGACTGGCAGAACTACGGTTTCATATTTCAATTAGTGTCTTTTTATCGTTACGAAATTCAACTAAACTGTACGTCATAATATTGTGTTACGGTATGCATAGATCATTTTTTTGTGGACCCTATTGTATAATATTCGTTATCTCTCTGAATTTCCACAATATTTTCCATGTTTTAATTTCCTTTCAACGGTAAATCTCCATAGGGACTCTTTCATTCATTCGTTCACAAAGTAGTTTACAATATTGTAGCCAATTGAACATATGATTTAAATAATAAAATACCTATGTCTTACGAAATTACTGTAGATAATGCTTTATTTCGGAATTGATTGCATTACATTACATAAATCCGTTTATCATTTAAGCCATTATAGTTCAAATATTTTGAATTGTTGACTAACGGAATAGCGATTCGGAAGTAAAAAATGTAATTTTTTTTCATTCACAAATTTTTCGTCATTCGGATCCTTTTCTTCGGACTCTTTCATTCTACATGTTTGCTAAAGATAATTTAAAAAAAAACTATATTTAATAATTTTCAGCCATACAATTGTGCTTGTCGGACTCAACAAATCAACAAACACATAATATTATCTAATTAATATATCAAACGTGTCATACTTTTAATTTTTCGTATTTTCTAAACGCTATCCTTGTACATTTGTAGATTTTATGTTATTGATTTTATTTTATTTTATTTTATTTTCATGTGAGCCTTACTTCTCAATATTTCAATGTATTTTAACATTACAATATCATTTTCAGGTAACTTTCTCGACAAGGCTTAACAACCAACAATAACCTAATGATTTAAAGCTTTTATTATATTTCTTACTTATACTCAGACGATTTTCCATTCAGAAAAACAATGTATCGTATTTCCAGAGTCAAACTAAATACAACCATATCAGGTTTAAACATAATATAACGCTCGTCTCATTCTAATATCATATGCATAAGGTATTAATAAAACTGAAAAAATGGATTTTATAAATTGTGCATCTATTAATTCATTTTTAAGATTATTGAAACAATTTCGAATCTCTTTTGGGATCTACAATTTTTAAATGTCAATGTAAATGTTTAAGCCAAGTGATTAGGGTGAATCTTGACTATTTCTTTGGTATTTTTCCACACTCCTTTAGTCCTCTGACACGTGTTAGTATAATATATAGTTTAGGAAATATATTCCACTTTAGTATAAACCTAATTGAACGATACATTTTTAAAATTCTATTACAAAGTACATTGTTTTATCAAGTTGCATATTATTATTATTATATACCAATAAAAATACAAATATATTTCTGGTCAAATTAACATATACAATTAACTGTTATCGGATATTATTAGATATTAATAATATAAGCTAATCGACTCAATCCTAAATTCATGGAAATACTGTCAATGAATATCTAATTTGAAAAATCTACTGAAAGGTAGCTATATAAAAAAAGTACGATTAAATCGCAACAAAAGTTATGGAAATTCTAAAAGCTGAATATCGTTTCAATTAAAACCTTAAAGATTATACCCATTTAACTACACATTTTCAGCGTACCTATACTTGTGATTAAAATAATACAGTTATCATATTATCATATAATATATTATATTCTGACGTAAAAAAAAAAAATTGAAATGGAATACAAGTAATATGATAATAATATATTCAATCTAAAAAGAATAGTTAAAAATATACAATGCGGTTGGTTGATTTATTTTTTTCGCAAGGTGATCTTTTACGATTTGCGTAAACTTTTGACCCATTAAAATAATTGTATTAAAAACAAAAACGATCGGGTGAAAATCGACTGAGAAAACTTATATATTGTACGAGATGATCGGCATTCAACACAAGTGTTTTAGGAAACAGTATTAAGAGTTATTATGATTAAAACTTTTGTGTGGTGCGCGTTAAAACAAAATTTAACGTTTTATGAATACTGAAGTGGCGTGGTTTTTGTTCGTGGAAATTTCATTAAACTATTTTAATTCGAACAAAAGTTATATTTTGTCACGTTTAACCTATACAATAATATTTTCGCTATAGGTTATCTCTATATAAACAAATATGTATCATTATTTTTAACGAGTGATAGTTTGTTCGCAAATCGCAATATTGTTTGTATCACGTTTTTCCTATAACTTTTTGGTTTTGAATGTGATGTATAATATTATGTATTTCAACTAATTCATTTTTGTTCACTGTTTCACAGTTAAAACATTACGAACAGTAATTGAATTTAAAAATCGCAATATAACGTTTTCAAAATAATATATATATTTTTAGTGTGTTCAGTGTTGTTTTTCTAATATTTTATTTTACTTATGATTTAATCTTATACTTTTATCTTAAATCATAGATAACTGTCATGCTACAATATCGAGTTTTCTTGATTTCATATTGTTAAAAGAGTTTTGTTTGGAAATAATAATATTCGTTCCACTTAAATCTACCATTAGAAAAAAAAATGCCCTTCAGAATTTCATTGATCTCTGAGCTTTACCCTAAAGTATAATATTATGTATAACTACCAATATTTTGGGTATACGTTGTTAAATAAAAGTCGTATATGCTAGTTTGTTAATACATCATTCCAATTTACTTCTTAATACTCAACATTGTAGCCCCATGTTGAACATTTTTCAAACTAACTAATTTTGTCGGTTTATAGTATTTTATTTTTTCTTCGTAAATATCGTGCAAGGCATTATACCTAATAACTGAACAATATCTACCTAAAACTTACACGTGCGGAGAGTATAACGAAATGTTTTATACAATTTCACAATCCAGTTATAGAGAAACTCATTAAAATACAAATTTAGTTCGAAATTGTTAATACTTTAACTCCAGTGGTGTGTCAATCCTATGCACATTTTTATTGATCGAAGTTATGCGGTATAATAATAGAAATGAGTACCTAATTATTTAATGTATTTTTTTGTGATAGTAATCTGCAGGATTGGAGAGATTTTTAGGGTAAAGTTATTTTTTTATGTTCATACCTCGCGGCTACCAATCTCGACATATTACAGATATTAATAAAATAAATGTACTGACAGTTTTGCGATGCTTCTGAAATCAAGCTACTAATCTTGTAATAGTAATAATGAAATAATAATCAAAATGAAAATAAATGTTGAATATTTAATCGACTTACTAACTAGGTCAACTTTAAAATAAATATAGGTATATAAGAAAAATGAGTGATCATAGATTATGACCGTTGTGATGATGACAAATATATATTAATATATTATTACAGGGAGGTTAATAGAAGTTTTAAATTTCTGACTGGGTGAACGATACAAATTTCAGGTTGTCGATTTTTCCGGTCATCTATTCGTGGAAAATTCGTCTTCCATGTCTATGTATTTTATCATACTATTCAAAGCATCGAGTCTATGATAACTTTTCTAGTCAAATATGTACATACAGAGTGGGCCTCAGGGATTTAACGTTGTTCAGTGTTTACCATAAGAAAGGTGTCCCATCTCAGTAGGTATATAATTACATAAAAGTTATAACCATTGTAACTCAAAAGCCGAGTGTATGCTGTACGACCAGTGACGTCCTTAGATGTACATTTAACTCGAACCGTTTAAAACTAATATAAATTTCAACGTGAAAGATAAATAAACGTTTGGCAGTTTTAGGCAAATATTTGACTGTGCTTCGTCTTATTATATAATATTATATTGTAAACACTGCAAATAATATCGTTTTGCTATAGTTTGTCGATAACTCCTTTTGTTTATTTTTTTATGGTAAGAACGATCGGTATGCCATAAATATTATTATGATTATTTTTTTTATGTGTAATAAGAATATAGGTACCTATAACATGCGTTCTATAGGTCAATAGTTCAATTTTTTTTTTGTTTCGTTTATACAATTTCCGATGACCTTTTAAATTTCGACTTTATAATATTGTGAACTCGATTCATACGAAAATAATATTTGTTTCGATAGATCGTGGTCGGCCGTTGTATAGCATAATTCATCGATATTCATACCATTTTGGTAAAATTAAATTATTTTTTTCCACACACTCATTTCTGATCTGTATTATTATCAGTCACTATTCTTCTAATTATACTTATACGCTTACTATACAGAGTTACCGTTTTGGTAAGTATATACCGTCTGCAATAGATCACTAAAATATTAATTATACATATTATTGTGTATATTATAGCTGTACAGGGTACTAAAACTTGAACATAATATATAATTTATCGTCTCCTTACGAATTCCAATAAATTTTTCAAACTCTGTTCGTTTTCGAAAAATAGTCATAACCAGTTATGTATTATGTTATAAAAATGCTGCGGAAAAAACCAAAATACCTTAGGTGGAACGACGCTTTTCAAGTTTTTATCGACAACAAAATGTTCCACGGCCTATAATAATGTTACGCATAACAATCGAATCGAGTCCTTTGCATTTTGTATTTCACGTGTGTCGCGAAATCGTCGACGAAAAAGAAAAGACGAAATATTATATTACCTTTCCGTCGGACTTGATTGGTTTTATTAAATATATATACATATTATAATATATTATTATAGACAGTTCTCGTCAAAAGTGAGTGAAAGCTCAAGATAACTTATTGGAAACCGAGCTTGATTTTTATATAACAACGGTCTATTACCTTGGGATTTAGAAAGACAACACGTCATTCCTTTAACCTGAGCGAATCGTGGAAAAGGTAATTTCTTCCGAACTTACAAATACGAAAGAAACGAGACTACATTTCTGCCAATATTGGAATCGTTCGATCAATTTTTTTCTTCTTTTCCGTCAGCCGGGCCAAACCTTTTAGGAGTTGTATGACTGGGAATAATACAGTTTCGATAAAATAATTAATTTGGGATGATGCTATAGGGGCGAAATATGTGGGCAGAAAGAGATCCGGTGCGGAGTGCCTGCAGTACTGAGTGATGGGATTGTGTGTTTAAGGCTTACATCATCTCCGTCGGAGATATTAATTTTCTGGTAGTTTCACTTTTGTCCTTTCTCAGCCAATATACTATTACACTCACCGACGTTTCTTTGAGTGAACCAGGGGATGAGGGGGTTGAGGGGGGGATTAAAATCTATTTACAAGGAAGGACGGATTAATATGCCAACAGTAAACAAGGTGAGTTTGATTGCGTTATAATATTCCAATATAATGTACATGATATTATTATCATATTTATACTTTTGACGAGGCGAAAAAAACCGAAAACCTTTGAACCTATACGTGTACTATACGTGTAAGTGTATAGAATAAATAGTGAATATACCTAAGGCATACATGTTTTTCGTAATGTTATTATATATACAGTGGCCATAATCTAAAATATAATCAGACCGATAAATAGAACAGTATAGCGTCGCGACGTTACCACAATAAGGTTGTCGGTTTTTATGCGGTCAGAGTTAAAATAGTAAGTGAACTATATATTATGTGCCTTCGAAAATCAAAATAATATT